CATTGAGCGTACTGTAAAACTAAGCAAGTTATTGGTCCAGTGCGGCACATTGCATTCTGGTAGTTGTAGGTTTTCTATCTCTTGGGCAAAGGGGAAAGCCATAGTCCTTTGTCTTCTCTGGTCATGATGCACCAATGTCAAAAGTATTTGAGTTGCTGCTGCACAGGCAGTCTGGTTTTAGGAAAGCAGTTAAATACTTCTTTAACCAGTCTGAAGGACAGCACTGTACTCATTGTTCTCCTGACGTCCACCAGCTTGTTGAAAGATGGCTGCGGTGAATATCAAGTTTAAATGCAGTGTCAAATCTTGCCAAAAGTAAGAATCAAAAGAACCTATATATATATCATATTGATCAGAGTTTCATCTCCACTTTAACCCAAGTCTTTCTGCACGGCTGATACTTCAACTGGAAAGTGAGAACTTTTCGTTTTTTATAATTTGGGTGAACTGACCCTTTATACACAGTCACATGAGCTCATTATAATTGTACCACATAGATCAACAACCACACAGTAAGCATCGGCTCCTCCAACTAACTGGTGGGATTACATTCTCACTTTTAATGAGCTTCCCCTCAATGACTTTATCCTGCAGTTTTGGCTTCGATCACAAATTCACACGTCTGCTCCAAACACGCCTGGTGTGAACTCACTCTGTAATTTCTCTTTGCATTATTATTTCCACATAATGGGAGTCAAATGCCCCAGTTTGGAAACTTTAAAACCAGTTGGTAGTGCTTCAGCCGCAGCTACAAACTAATAGCAGAGAGCATGAAGCTGGCAGCGAGTGACGACCACTAATGGCTCCATTTTCAGATCAACTCGAGCATTTCACATTTCACACTATTTACATCCCAGCCTTGCCAGTGCTTGGTAAAAATTCCTGACTCCAACTGAAAATGAGGTTTTATTTTGATGATGTGGGCACACTTTCAGAGGCAACCGAGAGGTTCAAAGAAATCCTGGAGGCAAACCATGTGTTTGTAACAGCGTGGGCTTAAACTTGGCTCATGACGCCAGCTAATCCCATCTCTCATATTTTCTGTCACTAGGTAAACGGTGTAATACAGTACAGATTACATTAATATCACCTTAAGAAATAAGAGGGCATGAATAATCTTTCACCACACAGCACTTTCACAGCTGTCTCCATTTCTACACCTGGGACTGCTCAGAAGCTCTCCTCCAGCTAATCAAATAATAACCAAGGTGTAACTGCCGCGAGGCCTGGAAGCATGCAAACCTGCAAGTGAGGCACATTAGGTGCAGCTTCACACCTACAGTATGCTGCGCTTCAACTGTAATAAATAAAAGAATGTGCACACTGAACAGCAAGCGCATGCAACATTTTGGGGTCACAAATCGATGTCGAGGCTACATGAAGAGTCTGAGGATCACAGCTCATCCTGATGAGGGCATGAATGTGTGCAGCACATTGCCTCGAAATCAATCCAGTCATTGTTGAGACATTTCACTCAAAACCACAAATCTCAACCTCATCGTTAGAGAAAACATCAGAGGATCACTGAAGTCATCAGGGTCCATCCTCTGGGGACCATGTACAGTATATCTGTAGCAAATCTGTGCCAGTCGATCAATTTGATTTTGACATATTTCATGGCATAAGTGAAAACTTGACCTGCTGGTGTTGCTGAAGAAAATGTCAGATTAAAACTGAAGTTCATCCTCTGGGGACGATGAATGTCTGAACAAGACTTTATGGCAATTCACCCAATAAATGTTGAGATATTTCAGTGCAGACCAAAGTGGTGTAGGAGGACTGCTAACACGGCCAAAAATCCAATTAACTTGAAATTCTGGTTTATTTGACGTTTTGTTCCAATTCATTATTTGGTCAAACAGAGAAAGGTCCATGTGCACCTCACTACCTGCCTCTCACTCCTTATGATCCTACTCCTCTTCACCATCCTCCAAAAACAGGCCTGCACTATGTGTTGTGTCTTACTTTATGTCTGTTATAAGAACAGTACCATTGTGGCTAGCTAACGTGACAGCAAAGGCATGACCCACCCTGCTCTGCCTCTGTTTGGCTTACACTGTGTCCTAACTGCATCAGCAGCTAAATCAGTTTGACTGCAATGTTTTTTACTGGAATCGCTGTTTTGAGCTGAACTTTTGTCAAACACCCTGTTTCTATTTTTGTTCTGTTGCTCGTGTTGGAAGTGCTTTAATAGACGAGGAACAGCTTATTCACAAGGTTTAAATGAGAAATAACCGACACGATACTTGTTTATTTCACTACAAAAACCTAAATAAGTCGGCATCTGGCTGGACGGCGATCGTCAGGAAGACGAATGTTTCTGGTGAGAACTGTGTGGGATGCTCGCAAGCTAGCTTGTTTTACAAAGTGGAGATGGTGGTATGATATCGTAAGGGAGCTACAACGATATCTGTAAGTTAATGTTACCTGCAATAGCGTTGTTGTATCAATAACTAGTCCATACCCATTGAGTACAGCATACCATACCATGACTTAGTCATACCAAACATTAGAAAACAACACCAACATTGGTCCACAGGGGGAGCCACAGCGATCGGTCGCATTTTAACCATTTTGAAGCATTTTTCTGTTGTTATAGCGCCACCCAGTTGCCAATTAGAGTTAAATTTCTCCAGTCACCTTGAGGCGTCCTGTTCTACATATCTACCAAGTTTAGTAAAAATCCATATGGCGGTTAGGCCTAGATAAGAAATGAGCTCTCTAGCGCCCCCATTTTGTTTGATGGGGTCAATAATGGAGGGGTCCCCTCAGATTATGTGTGGTCATATGCCTACAAAGTTGCGTGGTGATGGGTGAAACCCTTGAGATGTTATACACCTTTATGTGATGAGCCACGCCCTCCGCAATATTCATTGCCTTATAGAAGCTCAGTTTTAGTAAGTTTTCCAACTTTTGCCAAGAGGGAACTTTAGATATTGGTCCCTAGATTATGTTCACCCAGTTTCATGCAGATCGCTCAAACTTCCTAGGAAGAGATCCATTTGAAGTGTTTTTCAAAAAATTCAAAATGGCGGAAAATCTATATAAGCGGAAGTTATGGGTTCTTGAGGCAAATGTGTTCCTCATGAGGAGAGGCATCTCTGTGCAAAGTTTCATGTCTCTACCACATACGGGGCATGAGATATGCCCATTCAAAGTTTGACATTTCAATGGGTTGCTATAGCGCCCCCCTTTGGCCAATTGATGTAATATTGCTTCATTGGCATCCTCCCATGACCCTCTACCACTGTGCCAAATTTCACATGGATTGACCAAGTCAGTGAGGAGAAAAACATGGAACAGACACACACACACAGACAGAGTTTCCGTCATTATATAGTAAGATAAGGACGTACGTACTCATCCATCTTTTCAGTGGTGACTCAGACCACAGCTGCTGGGTGGGTGGTTTGTTTACATGACGTGATGTAGGTCTATATTGAACAGATCCAGTGTGGACAGAGAGCATTCGATGTAATGTCCAATATAATGGACACAGTGTGACACTTACAGTGTTACCATAACCCTAACCAACCTCGTTTCTAAAATCTAACCAACCCAACCAACGAAGGCAACAAGCACTAGCCAGCCAGAGGGAGAGTAGGACGGGTCATGTGACTAGCTAACCCTCGCTGAGATGCTAGCAGAGATGAGGTGAGTTTAACTGAATCCACTGTGGCTTACTAACGTTAGCTACGTGGGTCAAAGTAAGGTCCACAGTGCTAACTTATCAGTAGTGAGTGATGTATCCATCCCATCAACCCATTTCTGGGGACACATTATTTAAGGATATATGTTGATGTCCGAATACTCTGTTTCCTATGTTTCCCTACTTTAGAGACAAGCTGACAGCTCATGATGAATTTTTTATATGGTTGTCTGCTCCAGGCAAGTGTTCACATTATATACAATGCTACATGTAGCTACATGCTAACGTCAGAAAAAAAACATAATCATGGTTGCTGATGTGGGCAAAATCCCCTTATTCCCTCTGGAACAAGTCTGGTTGTGAAGATTTCTACTTTACAAGCTTTTATTGGGGATTTTTAACACAAGAAAATACCACTATACACAACCATTGTTCAGCTGCAAGTACAATGCTACATGTAGCTACATGCTAACAAAGATTTGTTCTAGAAGCTTTAATTGGTGATATTTTACAGTTAAAAATGCCACTATTCTACGTTACAGTCACTCCTGGCTGCAATGACAGTGCAGAGACATCAAGATAAGCAAGACTCGGAAATGGTGACCAATCACAGAAGACTGGGCTTTTGCGGGAGGGGTCACTTCAAGAAACAAGCACTAAAACAGACAGAGGGTGAATACAGGTGTTCAAGCACAGACAGTACAACAAATGTAAAGTTCTTTTCTAACATTAAAGCCTGTAAACATGTTCTAATGTAAGTATGAACCTGAAAAAAGCAGTGGAGGTGCCCTGCAAGTGTTTCTGTGCCTCAGCCCACAACAACATGTACAGCTGTGTCCATCTCATCCATTTTTGTGGTTACGTTCCTGCTGCTATTGTCTCGTTCTGGCACAGGAGGATGATGGAAGCTCTCATTGACTTTGTGTTTTTGTACAACAGCAGTCAATCACAATCACTGCAAACATCACAGGTGTGACCGTAGCCAGCAGGTTCTGATTGGCTCTGTACAGTGCTTCTATAGCCGGAGTATTTCTGAAGCAAGAGCAGATATCTGACCTCTAACCAACTGCTTTCTGACTGAACTAGACGACACAATATCCTTCACATAGGAGGACAGAAATCAGTTATAGTCAAGAATTCTTTTTACTCGCTGAGACCGAAGTGTCACAGCATGCAGTGCAAGAGAGAGTTAAACACACAAAGTGTGCGCCTGCATGTGACCAACGCTGAATGCAGTGCAGAGAAGGCGAGCAGGCATGCAAAAGACACAATGAAAAGTTATCCTATTAGAGACAAATCCACACAGAGGGACAGATTTACGCTGAAACACAAACACAATATTGGCACTGACCTTGAAGCTCCAGTAGTTTGGTTGTTGCTAGGGGGGGAAAGAAAAACAAAGAGGAAAGGAGACAGAAAAGGGACAGGGAGGGTGAAAGAAGGGAGAAAAAGATCGAGTGTGAGACATTTTCTCGAGCAGCAAAACAGCAACACTACAAAACATCAGTGGCTGGGTAGAACCAGAGCTGAGAGAAACTGCTTTGTCACTCTGTTCCTACGTTAAGATATGCAAGTGATGCTACAAAGTGTGACTAATAAAGGTTAAATGGTGCATTATTTCTGCGCAGCGAGAGCGCGGCGCCCCAAAATGTCTCCACCACTTTGCTCAAAATGACCAAAAATTGAAGTGAAGCAAACAAACCAATAAATTGCCTTTTTTTTTTTTTTAAATAAATTAAGCTTGGTGAGAAAATGATGGGCTAATTATTGTGATGATAGCCAGATTAACTTGCGTTGTCCTTCACTGCCATCATAATAGGACTTTAATTGCTTGTAATTGCCTCTCAGCAATTAATCAAATGTTTACAGTGACTTCACACACACTAATGATGTAGCTCCTAAATTCAGGCCCCGGCTCCCCCTGGATGCAGAGTCTTTCTGGCGTGGACCCAGGAGCAGGATTAAAGCAATGCACACACTGGATTAAGAAGCTGCCATTTTCACTTTATCAAGAGGGAGGCCAACATTCGGGTCAACGTCCCTCTGATGCTTTAAAATGCAGCAGCTGAGGCTGTGTGCGTGACATTCAGTTGATGCCCAATAATTAATATATTCATTCACTAACGTACAGTTTATGGCCAAAAGTATGTGGACGACCGTATCGTCAAGGGCAGGGACGATGTGCTTATTACCTGATTCGATATTAAAGTGCTGTGATTCCCTATTTATTGTGATTTTTGTTTACCTTATTAACACTAGATGGGGGAAAGTCAAATCATACACTTTTAGAGACTGTACGAGGTGTGACTGAAAAGTTTTGACCCTAACCCAGACAATGGGTAACGAGGCAAGTCAAATGATATTTCTTATAATCTACCACCTTTCCTTATTATCATTAACCATGTTCATGTTTTGAACTCTTTTTGATTTATTTTTGCTGCCTCTTGAAGTGAATAGTTGTCTGTGATTTATTGAAAATGGAGAAATTGGAGTGATCAAATATTGTATTGTCACCACCTGAAATCTACCAAGATATGCTCAATACTTAACATGACGATGCCCCTTCATATGCCACGAGTCAAACCCCGGGTACAAGAATTCAAGCGGGAGAAGGAGAGAGTCACAGTCAGTACTTTTACATGCATAGTTAGGTAGGGTGGCCATTTCCACAACACCAAAAAGGAGGAGACTTTGCGGCATTTAGTTGACAACGCTTTCAGCCAATCTTTTTTTTTTTTTTTTTTTTGCCAATCTTTTGTTAGACTGAAAGTCTTACAGCATTGGACGATATGCTGCGTTATGTTCAAGTGCAACTCCATAAAGGAGGACAAATAAGCATCCGGCTTGTGGCTGCACCGGACGCCAGACAGGGCATTTAAATTCCACACTGTCCGTCCTAAGGCAGCAATCACACAGAAATGAGACGCTAGAGACGCGGACGCTTCAAAGACGCTTGAAACGCTGGAAGCGCTTATTCAATGCGTGCTAGCTACTGAAGTCTGACGCTCAAAAAGTTGAAAATATTTTAACTTTTCAGCGTCTACGCATGTCTAAAAAGAAGCGCCTACAAAAATGTGTGTCTAAAAAGACGCCGGAAAAACGGCCGTCTAAAAAGATGCTTGAACGCCGGTCAGACATGCCGTATCATAGGATAACAATGGTTTTACTGGCGTCGCGTTTCTAACGTTTCATCTCGGTGTGATCGCTCCCTAAATCCGGACTTATGGCCACCCTATAGTTAGGTCAAGCTACAGTTACAACTCGACTAGGCCATTTAACTGGCCTACTGTCCTTGTCCCAGTATACAAGCACAGGAGGGGAATTGATTTATCCACCAAAGTATGTCCAAATTCACTACCATAGGTGGTGTTAGTATTGGACCTTTTTCCTGTTGACCTGTTACGTCACAGACCAAACAATGGACAAACAAGTTAGCTACGGTTAGCTAGCAGCTAACTGGTACCATGGTGGACAACTTTACAGCTCTGTACATTTGGTCCGTCTAAACATGCACAGCACAGGATGGACATTGTTCTTACCAGCTTCTTCTTCTGTTACACATTTAAAGCTGTTTGACTTTGGAAACTCTGGAGCATGCTCAGAGCGCCTCAGCCAGTTTGAGTCCGACTGACTGGACACATGCAGGAGGACTTCAGCTCCCAGTGGCATTATCGAGGGTGTTAGTCCGACTTTGACTCACATGTTTACATTGATTTTAAAAGTCCGATTTTAGTCGGACTAACTCATTTAATGGATTTTCTCTAACGTCATTTAAACGCACTCAGTGTCACTGATGTGTTCTTAACAACAATGGAGCTCTATGGCACAGAGGACGAAGATATATCGGGCTTTGATACACACAGAACTTGTTAAATCTACAGTTGGTTTTGTTTTTTCATTGGATTTGTGAACAATAAGAAAAATCTAGAATATCAACCAACTTGCTTTTCTACAAAAAGGACCAGTGCTGCTTGCTAAGTTAATCATGCAGTGGAAATCTAATCAGCCTCCACTGACATGATGATGATGGAGCTTCTCTCTTCTCTTTGTGACCAGAGTGACTTTGTTACAGTATCTGCATCAATAATCAATCATCTGTGCACAAGTTCTTGTGTTCTGAATGTGCCCTGAACTCATCCTGAAGCCTTTTAGACACAGATCTCCAGACACAATCAATTATTGACTGAAGCAGGCTAAAGGACGGAGGGAGAGTAATGCTTATGGATCGGCCAGGAAGGGAAACTGCTACAGGAACAGTACAGTAATATTTTGGACGTTGTTTACTGAGCTGCACTTTTGGTCATGACCGCTACTCAACCCACTCAAGACTCTTTCATATTCCTCTGAATGACACATATCCTGTGTGAAGCCTCACAGCAACAGAACAATTTACCCTCACAACCCTGGACCAGTGAGTGCTGAATACACTGAATGAAAAACGGATCTGAACGAAGGTCTTTGCATTCTTTCATTCAGACTTTCTATGACACCAGTGAGAAAGACGGAGGTATAGAAAAGAGAACAGATGGTTGTACTCCAAAAGAAGTGACCTCGCGTGGCTGTTTTCTACCGTACAATAACTGTGATCTAAGATATTTAGCTCAGCTTAGTTCCCCTGCCAGCGAGGTGACAGTTTTCTGATGAGTTTCTTACTCAGCAAAACATCGCAAGAACCTTTCAAATGGTTTGATTTTCCTTTTCAAGGTATTTAGTTATAGGCGCAGCATTGTTTTGAGGAAATAATATCAGCATGCTAATGTGCTAATGCTATACGAGTATATGGTCTCAAATCAGATACCTCTGGAGTGCGATGACACCATAACTAGCATGTAAAGACAGACAATACGTCTCTTCTGTCTCCCTCTGAACTAAAATGAAGGTAGTATACTGCAGCTATGGCCACTGCCATTTTTAGCTGACCAATCTGACCAATCGCGAACTGCACCGTTAAACCCGAGCACGCCAACTGGCACACACAGCTGTCAATCCCGTTGTTGTGCAAGCCTTACACCAAACAACTCTTCAAGCGATTTCACTGTCACAGACAAATTTCAAATGTCGGAATAAAATCATGAGAGTTTCACGAGAGCTGTGGCACGCTCCCGTGATCGTGATCATTTGGTGTCAGGGGGTCCGAAAACTCAGTCCAAGCTGTCTTGATTTTGTCTTTTTCTTGTCTTGACGTTCCAATAAAATCAAATACTGACGTTCAAGGATGTGAACATCAACAGCCAATAGCTGCGCTCTCTGCAGCACCAAACAGGAAGCAGCAAACTGGGATGACAGTAAACGTGGAGGGGATTCAGAGGAAGAACAAGAACATGAACAAGTCTTGATTCTCTTGTTCTGTGGAAAAGGAGGAGAAACTGGTGGAGCCTGAGTGACCAAGAACCTGTGTTTGACTGTGTCTGAATCTGATCCACAAACCAGCAATTATTCTCAACACACTGTCACACCAACCAACCTGGTCATGGATTTTCCACGTCCACATATGACGTGCAAGGTACCCTGGGTGTGTTGGTTGTTGATGTCCTGAGACGCCGTGTCAACTTCAGCCTGTTACATGCATTGTCTGTTTTCAAAATACACTTCTGTCTGCTTTCAAAATAAAAGCACTACATCAGAACAACACCCTGAAATAACGTTTTCCTTCAACGTTTAGTCTACACAAGCACGTGGCTGGGTTTAGCTTTGGCTTTACAATCTTACGGGAAACAAACACCGACTTCCCGGGGTGAAAGTTGGTGGTTGCTAGCTCCATCCGCCACCACTCCTGCCCCCTTAACTGACCATATCATGCCAGCATAAAAGGACGTTTTCTATTTGTCCGTGTCTGACACCAGAAGTCACTGACCAAGCACCGGTATTCGACGACCTCAGAATGAGACACGGTTGTTATTTGAGAAATGTTAAAATATAATTTATCTTTATGGATTCTACTGTCGACATATGACACATTTAATCGTGTGTTTCTGGAGCTGTGTGTTTTTGCAGACACACGAGGAATTGTTAATATGTCAAATTTCTTTTGGCGTAATATTTTCCACCAGGAGCAGGATGGGAAATAATCTCAAAAGAAATCTAGCTCCAGTCTTACAAATAGTGACCCTGCAAGATCTGCAGTCTTTGTAAAATTTTATCTTCTCAAAAGAAAATCTAATCTAATCTTTTCAAAGTCTTCTAGTCAATGGTAAGCATTTGATTTTCAAGACAAATAAAAAAAAAAAAAGAAATGACAGATTTAGTTGAGTTTAGTCATCACCTTGAATAAATCCTCAGTCTTGTGTCCACTATGGTTCTTGGTGTTTGAGCGACACGAGGAGACCAGTTATAATCCACAGTAACGACAGCTGAGCTTTAACAAACTGATTCTGTAGT